GAGTTCAATCTCCGCCTGCCCCGGAGGTGACCGCATGGCATGGCAGACCTCTCCTGACCCGCCCACTGCTCCCCTCAGCAGTGTACTTCGTCAGCTGGCTGTTCTGCTCCCCACTCTGTCTCTGGTGAAGCCTCTCACCGCCCCTGAGCCTCTGGCCTGTACCCCAGTTCTGTATGCACAAATAAATAAATCTTTAAAAAAAAAAAAAAAGGTATTCATAAGCCCAGCTGAAGCTAAGCTAAGGTTAGTGTCTTTCCTCACTAGAACAAAATTGCTTCTTGGCCTTAAACACATAAATAAAGCTTTGGGATGCCCTTTAGACCAGTGAGGGGTGTTTCAAATAAACCACACACAATACAGAAACGGAAGAAAATGTCATTTGTTGAACCGCTTCACTATCCCACTTCCTGCCCCCTCCATGGAAATTCTGTCGCTTGCTGGCACTCACCCACCCTGGTGCCCACTGACCACAGCTAGGGCTTCAGAGACCCTTGGGCCTTTTCCAAAATTTCTTCTCTGATCTTGGGGTAGTTGGGGTGTTCCCTGAGGACCTGGGACAAAGAAAGAAAGGACGTGCAGCATGAGGTTGGGCTCCCTGCAACAAGCCCCTCCCTGCTGGTGTCTGTGGCTTACATTGTGGCAGACTTCGATGGCCTCCACCAATCTCTTGTCCTTCAAGTAGTTGAAAGCCAGTCTGAAGCCTGTCCAGGGGCAGGGAGAACACAGATGGTAGCACTCTGATGACCCGAGAACCCTTCTGGTTCTCCAACAGCCAGAGCACAGGTCTTAAGTTAGCAGCCAGGGTGCTGAGCCCCCCCGTCGAGTGACCACCTGCACCCACAGGCTCCTTGCCTGCTGCCTTACCAATAGCGGGGTTGGCGTGATGACTGTATTTCCAGGCTAGTTCGTAGTTGGCGGCTGCGTCCTTGTAAGACTGCTCCTTCTCCATGATGAAGCCCATGTACTCATAGGCCTTGCAACAGGACTGCAGGGGAAGCTGGTCAGAGCCTCTGCAGAGGGGAAGCCATGTCCCAGCACCAGGGAGGGGTGTAGCAGGGCCGGGGACTATGGTGAGCTGCCTTAATCCAAACCACTCAGGGGCTCCACAGGTTCTTTTCACCCCTCACCTCTATGAGGGGCAGACTGAGTCTTCTTTTGGTTAGTTAGCCCACCATTGGCATGACTCCACCTGCCCTGCCGACCTCCAGCCCTCCTGCTCTGCCATGCAAATGCCCCTCCCACCTGGGCCACCCCCTGCATGCCCCTTGAAACCATGAGCCCTTCCCAACTGTCTCCGCCACTCCCAGATCCCCAATTCCCAGCTGCCAGACCCAGCGTACCTCCTCTTGCCTTGCGGAGGAGTCTCTGTGCTCCCCATACCTACCCCCCAAAAGCAGGAAGCACTCACTCACCCAGGTCTTCCCTCTCGTCCTGCCTCTTCTCCTCAGGGTCCTTACCCATCTCCTCTGCCCCATGCAGGAGCCCCTCTTGGCCCACCTCCACCCATAGAACCCCCATTCTCCCTCGCCCCAGCAGTCCCAATGGCTGAGCATCTTCTTGCCTTGTTGTATTGCACACAGCGCCGCAACAGCTCAGAAGAGAGGTCGAACTTGCCACCCTGGCAGTAGATGTCTGCCAGCAGGAGCCAACTCTTCTCCAGGTCCTCAGCCTCAGTCAGCACCCACGGGGCCTTGGCCAGACGCTTCAGCTGTGTGCGTGCCTTGGGGACCTGCTTCAGCAGCATGTAGGCCTGGGCCATGGCCAGCAGAGCAGGAACGCTGTCCCTCTGTGCACCCAGCGGGAGGCCGGTGTCAGAACACTGCGGCCTCCCAGGCCCCCAGCTCCCGCTCCCACCGCACACCTCAGCTTGTGCCATCTCGATGAAGGTGCCCAGTGCGGCTTCCACGTTAGCCTTCTCCCTGGTGGCCAGAAGGCAGAGGCTCTGCAGCAGCCGCTGCTGGGTCTGGCCCCCAGCGGAGTGCGGATAGCACTCTCGAAGCAGCTTCTCGGCAGTGCGCACGCCATGCTGCTCCATCTCCTTCCTGTCCGGGGAGCTGTGGGTGTGGGGTTCGGAACGGTAGGTCCCCCCCAGCCTAGGGACCTCACCTAGAGGCTGTAGATACTCCCTCCTACCGTGGGGTCTCACTGGCCTGCCCCAGGGCCCTTACTTGCTCTCAGCCACCAGGTTCGTGAAAGCCTCTCCGCCCACAATCTCGTTGTCCGGGTTCAGACAGATTTGCACCATGTAGTAAGTGGCCCTCTGGCCCCAAGTGCTGTCCTTGCGTGCTTTGTTCAGAAACTTCAGGGCTTCGTTGGGCTGTCCTATATGCCTGTGCGGAGAAGAGAAACATCAAGAATCAGATAGGAAAACTGAGGCCGGGAGCATGTAGGGATGTACAGGGGCCATCCCACGCGTCGGCACAGAGCAGGGACTGAATTGCTGGTCTCAAGGACTTTCTCATGGAAGCAGAGTTTCTTTCCATACTTCTGCTAGCCCGAGCAGAAAGAAGCCCAGCAGCCTACTGGGCAGAGGCTCCAGCCCACAGCTGCCCTGACACTCCCTGTCGAACTCACCAGCAGTAGATGCCTCTGCAGTAGTTGAATCCTGGCTCCCAAGGCACACGGCTGGACATCGTCTTGGCCAGTTCGAAGAAGGATGGGGCATCTTCAAGTCTGCCGCTTCTTCGCAGCAGGTCGATCAGTTTATCCAATACTGAAAAATTGTCTTTAAAAAAAAAAAAAAAAAGCAGTGGCCCTCCCTGGTGGCGCAGTGGGTTACAGCACAGCACTAAGAAGCTAAAGCCGCTTCCGCATGAGTTCAATCTCCGCCTGCCCCGGAGGTGACCGCATGGCATGGCAGACCTCTCCTGACCCGCCCACTGCTCCCCTCAGCAGTGTACTTCGTCAGCTGGCTGTTCTGCTCCCCACTCTGTCTCTGGTGAGTCCTCTCACCCCCTGCACCTCTGGTCTGTACCCCAGCTTTGTATGCACAAATAAATCTTTAAGAAAAAAAAAAAAGAGTGATTTAAAAAAAAAAGAGCAGCAACCTCTGAGCGCTGACAATCCCATCTGTATCAGGTAGGGTGCTGGCCCTGCAGGGCAGCCCACGAGGCACTGCCCACCTGGGCTGAGCACGGATATCCCAGCAGCTGCAGTATCTCCACTGGTCTCCAGCATTGGAGAAAAATAGCAGTGTTTGAAAGTAATAACAGTAGCAGCTACCCTATTACACTAACATTGCACCTGGCCTAAGCGCTTTACCTGCAAACTACATAATCAAGGTGAATACTGATCATTCCCATTTTATATCAATAGATGAGAAAATGGAGATACAAAGAAGTCAAGTGATCTGACCAAGCTTACACAGTTGGTCAGTGGGAGACCGTGGTTCAGGCCTGGGCAGGACCTGGCCAGCTGTAATCTGGACAGCTGTAATCCCCTGGGGCCTCAGCCTGTGCCTCCTTTCTAGCCCTCTCACCAGTAAGAACAGGTGTCAGGTGCGTAGGAACAAAGCTACATCTCAGGGAAGATTTCGAGCTACTCTCGGTAGCGGTAACCCCAGAAGAAGGCTATGTTGAGCTGTGACTTGGGGATAGACAGGCTGCCCTAGGTCCAGTGCCAAGCCCTGTGCTACAGGAGACGAGGAACTGGCCCCCTGGACCTAGAGGGGGCCAGCGCCTTCCATCAGGTCTTTATCAGTTTCCTGCCTCTCTGGGAACAATCAGAGAGGAAGGGGCTTCCTCTGCCCAGTCAGGAAGGAGGGGAGAGGGCCCACCCTTCTCAGAGACAGCAGCCCTTACTGGAGGAAAGTGCTGGAGACCGTCTCGGCGCCAGCTGTTACCTGGAGCTTTCTCCAGGACTTGACGGTAGATATTGATGGCAGCTTCATATTTCTGTTTTCGAAACAGCAGATCGGCCATCATCTAGCAAAACACAATGGTCTGAAATTCCTGACAGCAGTCTGCCTGGATGTGGGGTTGCTGAGAGGGTACTTGGGGGGAGGTGATAAGGATTTCCAAAGCAGCCGCTCTGGGTACTGGGAGAAGCTGCCACAGGAGGAACACGGGTAAGTGGGGGCGTGGGAAGGGGGAGGCCTGGGGCAAGGCTGGAAGTGGGAAGGTCAGAGTAGTCACCAGCAGAGCCAGCCTCCCCACCCACATGGAAGAACTGCCAGCTCCAGGCACTGGAGGTACAATCGGGGCCCAGGAGGTGGTCTTGGTGGTGAAGAGATGTAGAAGCAGGGAGGGCTTTTCCCACACACTTCCCACAGCCTTGAGAACCCATCCCCGCCTCATCTTCACTGATGTGGGTGTGGTTTCCCCTGGAGAGAGCCAACCTCACACCTCTGCTTAGGCTGACCCAAGGGGTTGAGGCTGCCAGCACACGGCCTGAAGGGTGGCAGGCCCAGCTCTGTCTCTTCTGCGCCCCACCGCTCAGGGACAGGTCCTCCCGCGTGTGACCACGGGGCCCTGGGAGTGCAGGGAAGAGATTCTGGTGTTCCTACCACACAGGCCGTCTCATGGTTCTTGTCGGTCTGCAGGAGGATGGCACAGTGCTCCTCGCACAAGTCCAGGTGCCCCTGAAGCAGAGAGAGCCGAGCCAACTCCAGCACTATCTGGAACAAGAGCGGATACAGTAGGTAATGTAAGCAACAGACACCACGGGATAGTGCTGGGCTCCGACCCAGCATGCTGGGTGGCTCATTCTCTCCTACTCACTTTGATCAGCCCTGGTTTCAAAATCTGTCTGAAATCTTCAGCACCCCCACTCCAACCGCCACTTCTCCCACCCAGCACTCAGGTCATATCACTAGTTACAGTGCCCTGACTTTGAAGGATGAGCCTTCAGCTCAGCCCTAATCTTCAGTTCCCTGAGAAGGTCTCTAGGCCCCAGACTGGGGTAGGTAATATCTCTCTTCTGAGCTGTCTTTAGTGCCCTCACCCACACGCAGGCATGTATGGCCTGGTGTTAGAACTGTGGGAGTATTTGTCTCTACGCCCTTGTCTGAGCCCCGCTATGGGCAGGGACTACGTCTTGCCCCACGGTGTCTGCAGGGCCTAGCACAGACCCTGCTACACACTGGAAATGTGTTCATTGATAGCATATTAGATACGTGACTGGCTGTCTCGGGGCTTTATCTACCCTGAGTGCGAACGCCAGCGCTGTTCCCTCTCTGGAGCCACAGGCCCACACGACTCTAAAAACCTCCTTGGAAGCTGAGCCAGGCTTTGTGCCCAAAGAGCACCCAGCAGCCACACTTCACTGTCTCCCCACCCCTAAGGGGGGGTACTGAAAGTGGTGACTAACGTGATTTTCAGCAATGCCTTTCCCACTGTATCTTCCACACGTGTCTGATCAAAGTGCCCCAAATCTGTAGTCATGCTGGTCCCAGAGTCAACTAGAGGTGCCCCACAGCAGGGCTCCCCTCCCCTTACACCTGCACTCCTAGGGAGGCCCAAGGAATGAATGCACCTCTGGCCCTGACCAGGGAGCAAGCAAGGCCCTGTGCCCAGGAGCAGGAGCAGAGGAAGGTCTCAATGTGAGGACCCCACCTTGTTGTCAGTGGGTGAGTAGGAGAGCGCGTCCTTGTACGACCGCCCTGCGTTTGCAAACTCCTTCTCTGCCAGGTAGCGCTCCCCAAACTGGACACAGATGGAGGCTGCCAGTTGCTTCTGGGAGGGGATCATTTCTGGTTGCTCCAGGGGAACCCGCTTCAGTATCCGCGACTGCAGGTCCATAGCCTTGGGAGACCAGGAAGCTCAGTGTCAGACTGACGCCCCATGTCAGGCCAATCCACAGAAGGTCCCCAGGCGCTCATGCAGAGCCAGTGCTGTCAGAAACGGCATCTCAAGTGCCCTTGAACAAATCTGGGTCACTCTAGAAAGGCAAGGCCACTGGCTGAGGACTCAGGAGCAAATCGGCACTGCCTCTGGCGAGCACAGAGGCAGAGCTGGCACTCAAACAAAACACTCTGTTGTCTCTGACTTGGTTACCTGTTTCCATCACACCTGTACACTCAGTGCCTCATTTGCTTTGGCTGCGTTTGGTCTCAATAATGTCCTGCTGGGAAGTTGTGGCAGCCCCCACAAAGATCCAGAGCATCAAATGATCAAGTGAGTAACCAGAGAGCATCGAGGCAAGCAGACATGATGCCGCGTTTAAGCTGCTAGAAGCAGGCAAGAATCACCTCTCGGCTCTCAGAGGAGCGGTAATCCAGTCGGAAATGGGTAAATCACCTTCAGCCATCAGAGTGCACTCTGCTGGAACCATAGAGGGACCCAGGAACAAGTGCCAGGCCCTTAGTTATCAAAGTGTGCAAGGTGTGGCAGGAAGAACAAGGACCGCCCCCAGCAGGCCTAGCCCATGGGGAAAGAGCAGAGGTGGGAAGGGGCCGGACCTGGTTTAAATCTCAGCTCTGCCACTTACTAGCAGTATATTGGGAACATTTCTTTACTTCTTTGCGCCTTATCTGTTAAAAAGAGGAATGTTACTGTACTTAGAATTAAGAAAGAAAGGGAAAGCCTGGGGAAGAACCCAGCACTGAGCATTCGATATCTGGGAACTGCATTGCCAGTACCACGAGGGCCTTTGTCCTGGTGACTGGTCCTACTCCCCCCTTCCTCCAGCCCCGCCTGGCTTAGAGCACTTGGGTAGCACCATCAGTGACTGAGCAAGGATGGGGGAGTCCATGGAGTCAGGTCAGAGGTGCAACCTGCGTTTGGAGGCTTCTAGACCTACAGTCCTGTCTTTTTCAGCTCATGTCTACTTGTCAATTACCTTGTTCAAAGTTTCCATCACATCTTCTTTTTTATGGTTGTTATAAACCTTTGCCAGCAAAAGTAAGCACTTGACGTCATTCATCATGGATGGGATGTCTTTGACTGCAAGTGAAAACTAAAATGAGCGTTCTCTGGCTTCAGGGAAGCTGGGGCTGATGGTGGGGGCTGTCTTAGGGGGTCTGTAAGCCTGCTTCAAATACTGGTGTGTGTGTGTGGGGGGCAGTGAGTCAAAATGCTGCCTTACCAGAGTCATGTTCCAGTGCCTGCTTCAAAACTTTCTCTGCTTTATTGAATTTCTTTAACTTCAAGAGCAGTTCAGCCAAGTCACAGCACAGAAAGTCCTGCCCGCTAATCTTCTGGGCAGCCTCATAATAATTAATTGCCTGAGTGCAAATAGGAAATATTGGCATCAAGTCTAGTTCTACACTGACCTCACACCAGGCTCCCCTCCATGGACACCACACCTGTGTGCCCCTCTGGAACACAGAAGCCTAAGATGAAAAGGCCTTCCCAGATGGCTTAGAGCTTAACCTGGGCAAGTGTGAGGGGTGATGGGGAAGTGCCAAGTTCTGTCTTGGCACCCCACTCAGTGGGTGGAAACTCAGCCACCGCCCTGCTGTGCTGGCCCTTGCTGGCCCTTCCCACCCAACACTCCTGACCTTGGTGTACTGATGGGTCTTCACATAAGCTTGCCCAATCCTGCTGACCAGGGCGGCGTCATGTGGATTCTTTCTGTAGGCTTCGTCATAGACCTCCAGGGCCTTCTCAGGCTGGTGGGAAAGTGTCAGGTGTCACGTCTCCCCCATTGGAGACGTGAGACTGGGGGGCCATTTGGCAAGGTCATGAGCCAGACCCTCACTTACCTCCTGAATGTACATAAAAGCATCACCCAACAGCAGGCTGCTGTGGGGGCCAGGCAGATGTTCACAGAGCTCCCTGCAAAGGTAGCCAGAAGCCTATCTCAGGCCTGTGTTTGTCATATTCCTGAATGCATCTCTTCTTCTTTCCCATGAATTGTAATACTCATTCATTCATTCACTATCCAATGTTTACTGAAAGCCTTCTGTGCATAAAGCACTGTGCTATGTTCATGCTTTCCAGTGTCATCTAGATGATGCCAGGGCCTTCACCCATCCCTTGGCTCCACTCCCAACCCTGAAGACTCATGAGGTAGCTACACTGCTTTTTCTAAAACTCCAGTGTGATTTTGTCACGCCACTGTCTATTGATTGGTTTCTTATTACACTGCAATTGCCTCCTCCAGCGTCAGCCTGATATACCCCTTTTCCCTCAGTTACCTAGAGGGAGTTTGGCCCCAAAGTCAATCGTATAGAAACAGTAGCTAAGAGTTGAAATTCCCAGTCTCCATCCTCTCTCTCCTCACAGGGGTCACATCTAAGCTGCTGGACATTTCCTCAAGGACAACAGAGTCAGAGGCGGGGGCAAAGGTGTGTTCCCAACAGAATGTGAGCCAATATAAGGGCAGGCCAGCAGGGCGGGGGCAGATTCAGCTCAGTATCATCAGCTACAGCGATGAGCTGCGTTGACCTCCCCAGCTCAAATATGAACCCTCGGGAAGCTCCAAGGATGTGTTCTGGAGACACAGGTGGAAGAAATACAATCTGGAGGACATTCCCTAAAACACCACTGAAGACAGGTGAGCGCGGACCTGCGCCTTACCGGTAGCATCCAATGTAGAGGCGGGTGTCTTTGCGGGTCTGCAGGTAGATGCTGGCCATCTTCTCCTTGGCTTCTGTGTAACAGGGCTGCTTAGGCGTGATGTTCCTGAGCATGCTCAGAGCCATGTCCACGTTCCCCTTGCTCAGGGCCAAGTCCACGTTGGCGATGGTGATGCGGATCTCCTCTGGTGTGCCGCTGAACTCATTGATGGCATCCTGCATGACCTTGGTGGCCTCGTGCTATGACATGGGGACCCAACAGAACCTCCATTTGCTGCCACCCCCCTCAGGTGGCTTCCCAACACACGAAACCTCTTCTAGGAACTTAAAGCAATCCCCCTTCCCACTCCTGCTCCAGGGGGAGAAATGAAACATGGAGAGTAGAGCAGCCTGGCAACATGGAAGCCAAGGGGATCTCCTGCAGAGTGGCTTTGGTGGCAGGAGGGGGAGCCTTTCAGTAGCATTGGCCACTGTTCCTGGAGGGCAGGGGGTGTTCTGCTAGCTGGGGCTAGAGAAATGCTCAACAGGAAGAACCTGCCTATTCCTTAGCACCTCAAAGTCTGCAGAAATTCCTTCTGATGGGAGACATACGGCTGCAACTCCCTGTACTTTCTTTCTTTCGGACAGTGTATTTGAATGTTATGGTATTGGGCCATGGAGATCTATTTGAGTATCCACATTATATATTTGCACTGCTGGTTATTTAGCAGAGTTGTTCTCTTGGCCCACTTTGGTGTTTGGGGCCTTGCATTCAACTTACAGGCATTTCTTCCTTGATCTTTGCAATTTTGTTTTGTTTTGTTTTGTTTGTTTTTGCCATGTAGACAGCAACAGTTTCTTTGTTTAAACCACTATGAATGTCTTTTTTTATCTAGTAAGTACATTTGCTTCATTTACAGTTTTATTACCACAAGCCTGTGTTCTTAGACTCTTGTCTACATATTTTGCTTTCAGTTTTATATGTTGCTGTGGTTTGTTTCATTTCTTCTTTTGAGACGTGGCCTTGCCTTTCCTCCCCGAAATCTTAACTAATTCAGTGGAAATTGTCTTTTTTTAACTCTACTAAATTTTCTACCAAGAAATAGTCTGTGTAAACCTTTATTTCATAATTCTGTACAAAATATTAGCACCTTCCCTTCTTGTCTCTCTCCTTGACTTTTTTCATAATTAGTATTTTGCCTTTAATAACTTTGATTTCAAGAACTCAGCAATTATACTGGCTTAGAGTCAAAATTATTATAGTTATTTCAATGTAATTAGATTCATTTAGATTAGCCTTATGCTTAATTGGATTTAATTTTGTACTGTTGTAATTCAGATATTTTTCCCACTCATAAAAACTTGGTTTCGGTTCACATTTTGGTTTTCTGTATTAGATCTGCAAGTAGATTCTTTGAGAAAAATTTAACATCCTAACTCCTAAGTTATTCCATTTTATAGGGTGTCCTTTATTGCTGTTATACTTGGAAGCTAGCTTGGGAGCCATCTTTCCCCCCTCAACATTTTATAAATATTGTTCTGTTGTCTTCTATTGAATTTAATATTGTTGAGCAAAAGTCTGAGGTCGAGTTGTTTTTTCCCTCGTAGTGAGTAACAGTCTCTCTACCTAATGCAGGCAGGAACTTCCATTTATATTATTAATTCTTGAGGTCCATTACTATTAAGCTATTTCTTGGTTTTCATAATTTATTTCTATGCTTCCAACACAGAGTACCATTCTGAGTTGCTGGTTTGTATATTCCCTAAAGGAAGCTTTTTTCTATATCTTCCATGTTTTCTCTGTTCCACTTCCGCTCTCATCTTCTGGAACACTGATTATGCCTTTGCTGGATACCTGTTATCTATCTTTCATACCCTTTAACCCTCTCAAATCATTTCAGTCACTTTTCTGTCTTCTCAGCCTTTTCTTTCAGCCTGAGAGTTTCAGTAAATTTTAGGCTATTTCTTCTGTGTCTCACAGGGTTGTTATTTTTACAATGATCTCCTATGTCTTCTAGAACTACTTTCTTAATGCTGCCAGCTGACCTTTCATCATTCCTGTCTAACTAGGACCTCCTTGTTGATCTTTTGTGCTCTACCTCAAGCTTATTTTGTAAAATCTCATGTTCTTTTTATTTTCATTGAGCGCAGGAGAGTTTTTACAAAAAAAAAATTCTATTTTTTAATAATACTTTTTCTCCCAAAGTCTTCACTTGTCTTTATTATATGTCCTCTTCTCTGTCCTATCCTCTTACTCTCTGTCTTCCTTTCTCTCAACTCTCGATACACCCCCCAACCCCCACCTATAACCTATAATTTCATGTTGGACCCCTCTGGTCACCCTCACCCTCTCATTAGGGACAGCCCCACCTAGCCGTGCCCGAGCCTAGTTGCCCTGCAAGGCACCTCTCCCCTCAGCTTTCTGTGTGTCTTCCATTTGGGGGTAACCTTTATGAGAAGCTAGGGTCAGGATGGCACCCCTTGGCTCACAGTGAAGGCCACACCTCACAGCTCACAGCTGTGTTGTCTCAGCAGAGATAGTGGCTGATTTTCAGGTTATTTCCCCCTTCCTCTCCTCGGGTCCTCCTCTCTTACATAGGAGTCTGGGACAGAGAAAACCAAGGAGGCATTTCATCAGGAGTTCTTGCTCAGCAGCCTGCCTTTCTGTGGGCTGGAACTGGGTTCTTCTAGGAATGTCCCTGTTTTTCCTGTGACTTGACCACATCCCCAGTTCAGAAAACTTTAAAGAAATGCAGGAACCTCAGGTCCCCCCAGCAACTGCACCCTGCTTTCTCTCTCTTCCCAAAATAGTAACTTCTGAAAGCCCCCATAGTAGTGACCGGCATACAGGAGTAAGTATGAGGTGAATCGATGACTCATGGAATCAAGTATTCTTAGAGGCAGCTTCCTTCGTTGTGTTACAGGTGTAATTCCTTCTCTACTTTTAAATTGTCAGTTCCTTTTGGCAGATTTAGGCCTGAGAACTACTTCTACATTCTCATCTTTGCCGAGAAGGCAGTTTTTCTCTTTAAAATGAGCTCTCATGGGCTGGTGCCTGTCCACACCAGGACTGTCTCAGGAGAAGGCTGCGTGCCCCAGGCTGGTGCTCACAGGGCTGGTCCTGGCACTGCACGGACCACGCCTTTCTGGGGAGCATGTGGGCGGGTGAAGCCAGTGAGGCCAGGAGAGCAAGCGGAGTCCAGCGTCCCCCAGGCCTTGCCTAGTCTCTGCGGGACCCCTTGATCCCATGCACCAGCTGGGGATGTACCGCCCAGTATTTTCTGCCTGGCTCAGCCACACCTGGGAGCCCCAGGGTGCCTACGGTGGAGCAGCTTGTACAACGCAAAACTCCAAGGGGACTGTTGATGAAGAGGACGGTGGCAGGTATCTGCGGGAGCTGAGCAGGGCTTAGTCTAGAAAAGTACTGGCGGTGGCCTGATGGGCCCGTGCGTTCTGCATCCCCGAGATCTTCATGTGGACACTAGCAGGGATTTCACTGCAGGGGATAGACTGTGGAGGGAGGACGCAGGAGGGCTTGGACCTTATCTCAAGGACAAGAGGAGCTACTAAAGCCTTGTAAGTAGGAGGCAGACATTCTCCTCAAAGAATCACAATGAACCACAGGCAGACATTAGCCTCAGTCAACGAGCCTGGCCCCGGGCCTGCACTTGATTTGAGCCCTCTGCACCCCACCCCCACCCCCGGTTCTTACCAGTTCTCCGTTCATCCGGAGGGCATCTGCCAGTTCTAGTAAGATGGAGACCCTCTCGCTTGGCTGCACAGAGGGCCCACGGAACTTCTTGCCTTCTGTCTTCAGAGTTGGTAATTTCACGATCATTTTCAGTGTCTTTATGGCCTCTGGATAGTCCCCTGACTTGTTGAGGGCCCTGGCCTTGATGAAGTGGTAGAGGGGGTGGTCTCGAACCTAGAGGGGTATGTGGCAGAGTGAGGGCTCCAGTTCACCACCACGGCTGCGCACAGCCTCTGGGTGAGACAGCCGCCGGAGCCATGTCACTGGGGAGCAGGAGGTCTGAGGGTCTCAGGCCACTCCTGGGGCTACTCTCCAAAGCAAGTGGGGGTGACAGGTGGCTGGGCATCAGGTGGCTGAACAGACGATGGTACAGAGGACCCGTACCTGAAAGTTGTGGCTGACGCCCAGCTCTAAGGAGTGTGAGCACATAGCAAAGTTGCCTTGAGCCAGGTAGATCTGTGACATGAGGAGGTGAGCATCCACGAAGGTGGGGTCCAGCTCCAGGCAGCGCCGAAGGGTACTCTGGGCATTCTCTAACTCTCCTGAAAGCAATAAACAAACTTGTGCATCCAGGGATTTCTGGGGACTCCTGGGACCCAGAACAGGCAGGATGAGTCTTACACATTCTGTTTCCTAGAAGGATTCCAACTGGTCATTTTACCCAATTCCGTTCTGTTTCACTCCACCGTCTCTTCCTAAAAAGAGAGAACTACACAGCTGTTGCCTTAATCCAGGCAAAAGCCAGGAAGCTCCAGCCCTGGTGTAACAAACCCCAGTAATAACAATGAGTGTCATGCCACAACTTAGAATGCACCTGCTCTGAGCTCAGTGTGTGCAAAGCACTTTAGAGTGGCTGCTTTCTATTTGCACAGCCCTGCACAGTTGGCATTGTTATCCTTGCCCTTCAGGTGTGGGACTGGAAGCTCCAGTGACACAAGTTTCTTGGAAGGGACAGAGCTAGCACTGAAATGCAGGGCCCTGGCTTCCACAGCTGAGCTCGGAATGCCCTGGACAGGCTGGGAGGCTTCCCTGCAGCCACGTGGGCCCTGAGGTGGGTACAGCAGCAGCCCGGGGTGAGGCGCCATGAGTTGGTAGGAGAACTTTCCTCCCTCTGCAGGCAGGTTCCTCAACAGCTCCTGTCTGAGGTCATTAACCAGGTGGATTACCTGTTTCTGGTCCCAAACTCCCTGCTCCTTCCCGGTAAGCTGCAGAATGTGAAGATGTCACCATGGAAACCCAAGCAGCTGGAGACCTGACTTTGGCCCTAAAACTGCTGGCAGCTGCCAGCACCCTCGTGTGAGCGCTTCTGTCCTCACCTTGTACCCAGGAGAGAGACCTCGAAGCTGTGGGTAACCCTGGCACCCAGGTGAATGCTGGGAGGTTTGAGGAGGAAGATGGGGGAACTCTGAGCAGAGTGCAGCCCTGGACGCAGAACCAGAGCATAGACGCAAGCTCTCGGAAGCCCCCAGGACACCAGAGATGGGAGACAGGTCTGGCTTTCAGTCATGGGGGCAGGGGAGAAATCATAGGAGAGAGAACATCATCGAAGACAACAGCATATCCTTGGAGGGTTCTCCCCTTCTTTCCCTTTGGGACCTCGACCCAAGAGAAGCCAGAAAGGTTTGCTCTGGCCTTGAGGCTCCAGAAGTCTAAAGTTGCAGGCTTTTGCTTCTCCATGATTCTTTCCTGACAATCTTGTGAAAAACATAATCCTAACCCCACCCAACTTCCCTAACCGCCCTCCCCCCACACATCCCCCACCCCTCCCCGTCTAACTAGTTTTCTCTATCACATTACTGTCTCCTGACAAACAGTCCAGTGTCTTAGTGATTGCTATGGCCTATTTCCCCTTAGCAGAAGCAAACTCCATGAGGGAAGACTGGCCTATTTTGAACCCTACTGTATCCCAGCACCACAGCAGGGTCTGCTGGGAGGGAAAAGACATTCAGACACATCATGACATCACCAGCGTAGGTCAAGCAGGAAATCAGCAGAAGGCTTTTGGGTGGGGGGACCCCTGCTGGTGAGGAAGGTCAGGTTTCTGGGGGCAGGCAGCCCTGGTGAGAGATAATATGTCTATGTGACGTATCCTAAGCAGGGAGCCTGTGGACACTGACTGCCACCCCAACCTATACACACACACACATACACCCCAGAGCTGTGAGGACCCCGGGGCTCACCTGAGAGGTACTTGACCTGAGCCATCACATAGAGGGGGTCGATCAGAGCTGGTGCTGCCTTGATCACAGGATTCAAGATGACGGTGACTTGTTTAAGAAGAGGGGACGTGATCTGTCCTGGAAGCCGGGGCTGTAAGGACAAGGGTCTGGCTGGGAATCTGCACTATTCTGACAGGCTCCCAGGGCTCCCAGAAGACACTCTCAGAGAAGGCCTTTTCCTTTGTTGGGCACATATTGATTACCCACTGCACCATTGAGTCCCAGAGTGGAATATTGATTACCCACTGCACCATTGAGTCCCAGAGTGGAGGCTGGAGAAAGGGGTTCGTTCACTCTTATGTCCCCAGCATCCGGCTGGTGTCTGGCACATGGAAGAGCGTTCAATAAATAGTTGTGGGGTGACTCATTACACGGCACTGGGGGATATCAGGTTGTAGGATACGGTCCCTGCCCATAAAGAATCCTGACTGGCTGGGAAAGCAGGACGAACAAGTAAAAGCAAACACACTTCTTCGAAGACTTCTGGAAAGAAGGAAGCCCGGTTCTTCGGGGGATAGGGACAGGTGCATGGGCCCCTGCCTGCTTCTCCAGGTGAGCTCCCTGGACAGCACAGCAGCAGCGGCATCACCGGGCAGCTTGTTCTAGATGCAGGGCCTCGTACCCCACTTCCCCTGGAGAGATTCCCATGTGAGTGGTGGCTGCCTGTGCCAGCTTGAGAGCCCTGGGCTCCCCAACCACCCGAGGCTCAGAGCAGCCTGGTGTCTGGCACCCCAGACCCCCACCCTGAAGACACCCCTCCCTCTAACCTGCTTAGGGCAGAAGAACAAGTACTCCCTCGCAATGCAGACCAGGAAGAGGGGGTCCAGCTTCTCAAAGTACTCCGAACTCAGGGGGAGACCCTGCATGTTGGAGAAGTGCAGCTCCACAGCCTCCTTCAGGAGCCCTGTGGCCTCTTGCTCCCCCTTGCGCTTCCTGGAGGCCAAAAGGGCTTGGAGGAAAACCAGCACCTGGAGGAGGCAGGCGCAGGTCTGAGCACCTATGCGGTGGCAGCCGGCAGGAGAGCGAGAGGAAGTCCCAGCCACCTTGGCTGAGCTCTACCAGCAAGTTGAGGCAGGGGGAGGGCAGTGCAGGAAGGACAGAATCCTGGGGTAACCCCCAGAATCTCGGGGTAAGCCCCCCAAGAGCTCTGACCTCAGACTTGCCCAGGGACTGCTGCACCTCCTTCAGGAACTCCAGCTGGTGCTCGGCCTCCTCCAGGAGGCCATCTAGGATCTGGCACCAGATGATCCCTGGGAACGGGACAGAATGAAGATGAGCAGAGAGCTCGGAAGCAGAGGCAGGGAGCAGAGATGAGAGGGGGGAAGGAAGGGGTCTCAGGCAGGGGGTCTTCCCGCCCCAGCTTGTCCCCCAGCTTCAATCTCTCTTAAAGATAACACTATTGGCCCTCCCTGGTGGCGCAGCACTGCAAGCTAGAGCAGCTGCTTCGATGCAAGTTCAATTCCTGGCCCCGGAGGTGACCCACATGGCTCAGCAGACCTCTCCTGACCTGCCCGCTGCTCCCCTCAGCAGTGTACTTCTTCTGTCTGCCTGTTCTTCCCCCTGCTCTGTCTCTGGTGAAGCCTCTCACTGCCCCTGCACCTCTGGCTTGTACCCCAGTTCTGTATGCATAAATAAAGAAATCTCAAAAAAAAAAAAAAGATAACACTATTGACAACTTGGGATATAGCTTTTCAAACTTCTTTCTAAACATGAATATGCTATTAATGTAGACACATATTTTCCCATCAGTTAAAACAATCTACCCCTGATCTCTTTAATGATGCCTACATTTTCCACCATGGGTATAATCACTGATTGAACTCTTGCTCTGGCATCTCGTGTCACACAAAGTTGGTTGTCAATGTTTCAACACTGCAATGTCCTGGTGAACATTTTTGTATGTACTAATTCCTGAAGTAGAGTTGATGGGTCAAAGGGCATGCATATCTCAAACGGTGATCGGTAAAGCAACCTAACCACTTAAGATATCTGAATTAATGCTAGTACGTTCAAGAAGTTGAACATTACCTTTTCCTACAAAGCACGCTTTGCTCTTTGCTAGTCAAAAAATAAATAGATACATGCTCTAATTCACAAGTTTTTATTACTGGAAGAATGAAACATCTTTTTATATGTTTAATGGCCTTTTGTTACTGAATATCCTGTTTCTAGCTTGTTTTTCTTTTAAGGTGATTTTCCTTCTCTTTAAATGCTATGATTATTAACCTTTCATTGGAAAAAATTTTCACTTAGTTTGCACTTACTCTCTACCTATTTTCACAGTGTCTTTAGCCATCCATTAGTTTTACACTTTTATGTAGTCAAGTTGGTGAAATATTTTCCTTCATAGCTTCTGAGTTTGGGGTCAGGTTTAGAATCCCCTGGGGAACCCAAGCCCAGTTTAATTTCTATTTTAAATACTTAATTTACCTAGGATATATTTTCAAGTATGATGTGACTTGGGAACTTGCCTTTATTTTTACACAGCGGCCGCTGGGTGTCCAGCCATGAGTTACTGAAACTCTACTGTCTTGAAATCCATCTTTCTTATAAGACCTGCTGCTGTCTCGTTTATCTTTTTCTTTTTTTTAAA